AACAACAATAAAACAGCAACATCATCAACAAACAACAATAACAAGAACAATAACAAAAACAATAACAATAACAATAACAACAAACACAACAACAACATCATCAAATGATCAACAACATCAACAGCAACAATAACTACAACACAACAACAACAATACAACACGAACTATAACATCAACAACAACAACAACACCAACCAACAACAACAACAATAACATCATCAACAACAACTTCAACAACAAAGATAACCCCCCACCCCCCCCCCCCCCAACCAACAACAACAACAACAATTTCATCATCAACAACAACAACAACAAAAACAACAACAAAATTATCAACAACAGATCTCAATAGCAACTAGATAAAACATCTACTACACAACAACAACATACATCTAAAACATCAACAGCAACTACATCATCAACAGCAACAATTAGCAACAAGAATAACATCAACAACATACAACAACATAAACATCATCAACAACAACAACATCTTCATCAACAAACATCAACAGCAACCAATAGCAACCGATAACATCAAACACAACAAACAACAAAAAAACAACTCAAAACATCATCAAACAACATCAACAGAAACAATAGCTACAAGAATAACATCTACAACAACAAACAACAACAACAATAACTTCAACAACAACAACTCAAAAACAAACTACAACTCATCAACAACATCAACAGCAAACTATAGCAAACAAGCTCAATACCATCATCAACAACAACACAAACAACTCAACTCAACCCAACTTCACAACAACAAACAAATAACATCAACAACAACTACAACAACAGCTACAACAACCAACATCCTCAACAAACATCATCAACAACATCAACAGAACAATAACAACAAACAAGAATAACAACAACATCAACAACAACAAAATCATCAACAAACATCAACAGCAACAATAACAACAACAAGAATAACAACAACAACAACAAACAACAACAAAAACAACTAACATCATCAACACAACTAACAACAACAAACAACAACAACAAACATCATCATACAACATCAACAGCTACTATAACAACAACAAGAATAACAACAACAACAACAACAACAACAACAACAACATCAACATCATCAACAACAGACCCCCCCCCCCCAATAACAACAACCAAGAATAACAAAACATCATCAACATCAAAAAACAACAATAACAACATCAAGAATACAACAACAACAACAACAAAACAACATCAACAACATCAACAAACAACAACAACAACAAACAACTCAACAACATCAACAACAACAATAACACCCAACAGAATAACAACAACAACAACAACAAACAACACCATCATCAACAACAACAACAACAACAAACAACAACAACATCTTCAACAACAACAACAACAACTACAACACAACAACAACAACATCATCAACAACACAACAACAAACAACACCACAACAACATCATCAACAACAACAACAACAACAACAACAAAATAACAACAACATCATCAACATCATCATCCTCAACAATCAACAGCAAACAATAAAACAACAACAACAATAAACATCAACAACAACAACAAACAACAACAAAACAACATATAAGGGCGCAAAAAAATATTTATATATTATTCTCGAGTGAACAACAACAACAACCAACTCATCAACAACAACAACAACAACATCAACAACGAAATAAGGCAGCAAAATTAAAATATATATTATTCTCGACGTGAACAACAACAACAACAACAACAACAACAACAACCAACAACATAACAACATCAACAAAACAAACAACTACAACAACAGTATAAGGCAGCAATAAATAAATATATATATTATTCTCGAGTGAACAACATACAACAACAACATCAACAACAACCAACAACAACAACAACAACAACATCAACAACAACACAACAACACAACAACAACAACAACAACATCAACAACATCATCAACAACAACATACAACAACAACAACAACAACAACAATAAGGCAGCAAAAATTAATATATATATTTTTCTCGATGTGAACAATTTTGTCTCAAAAGTCGAGGGAGGAATTTTGTTATAGACGACGTGGGAGTTGAGGGAAAAGTTTTAGTTGGAGTGCGAGTGGGGAAGAAGTGGAGTGGTGGGAGGGAGGAGGGATGGAGTGTTGGTTGGAGGGAGGAGGCGGATGTAGTGGTGGAGCGGGGAGGAGGGGGATGGATGTTGGGGAGGAGGAGGGGAAAGGATAGTGGTTGTTGGAGGGAGGAGGGGATGCAGTGTTGGGAGGGGGAGGGGATGGAGTGGTTGGTGGAGGGAGGAGGGTGGATGCAGTGGTGGACGGGAGGAGGGGATGGAAAGGTGGGAGGGGGAGGGGAAGGAGTGGCTGCTGGGAGGAGGGGATATAGTGGTGGTTTGGATGGAGGAGGGGATGGAGTTGTGGGAGGAGGAGGGGATGTAGTAGTGATGGGAGGTAGGAGGAGGTGTAGTGGTGGTGGGAGGGAGGAGGGGATGTAGTGGTGGTGGGAGGGAGGAGGGGATGGAGTGGTGGGTGGGAGGGAGGAGGGGATGGAGTGGTGGAGGGAGAAGGGATGGTGTGGCAGGAGGGAGGAAGAGGATGGCGTGGTGGGAGGGAGGAGGGGGTGGCGTGGCTGCATGGAAGAGGGCATGTAGTAGGTGGGAGGGAGAGGGGATTGATTGGTGGGAGGAGAGGGGATGAGTGAGGTGGGAGGGAGAAGGGATGTAGTAGTTGTGGGAGGACGCTGGGATATGTTGGTGGTGGGGGGAGTTGGGGATGTAGGGTGTTGGGAGGGAGGAGGGGATGTAGGGGTGGTGGTAGGGGAGGAGGGGATGTAGTGGTGGTTGGAGTGAGGAGGGGATGGATGAGTGGTGGGAATAAGGAGGGGATGTAGTAGTGATGGGAGGGAGGAGGGGATGTCAGTAGTGGTGGGAGGGAGGAGGGGAGCAGTGGAAAGGTGGGATGGGAGGAGGAGGGGTGTAAGAAGTAGTGAGAGGGAGGAGGGGATGTAGTGGTGGGTGGGAGGGAGGAGAGGATGTAGTGGTGGTGGGAGGGAGGAGAGGATGGTGTGGTGGGAGGGAGGATGGGATGTAGCAGTGATGGGAGGGAGGAACAAAATCAGAACGACAGCAGCTGAGGGAGAGGACAAAAAAGCAAAAGGAGCTAGGACAAAG